GTTGAGGGTTTAGGGGTGTAGGGTTCGGAATGTTGGAGCGTCCCAAGTAGAAGGATCAGGACGACCATGACGCGTCTTCAAACATATGAGATCTGGGGCGGGGACGGCATTTATAGTGGTCATGGTGGTGATGATGATAGTGATAGTGCTAATAGCGATAATCGTGCTGTTGGTGGTGGTGGCTTCGATGGTGATGATCTTCAGTTGCTGTTCTAGGTCTTGTTGCAGTTATGGTTGATGTTGGTCAGGGGTGCAATGGCCCTGGTGATAGAAGACAAGGTATCACCAGCACAAACACGAGCAACTACACCCCACCAACATGACTACGCCCTAAACTTAAGAACAGGCGACTAAACCGGTGACCTCCCTCTTGGTTTTGGGGTACATCGTGGTGTGCTCAGAGGGGTAAACTCTTATTAGCTATTCCGACATCTATGTCCGGCTCTTCATCACAAGGCCCTAAGTTCTAAACTCTTCCACGACAAAGAAACGAGGCTTTAGCCCCGAAGCAAATTCTAAACCCCGCACACGCAGCCGACCCCAACACCAAGATTCTAAGCACAACGCGAGAAACATGTTCTATGTAAGTGTCAAGGCCCTGCAATAACAAGTTAGCTCGTATGCAATTTTTATACAACGCTTGTAAACCCTATAAAAGCCAAAAGTAAAGCCCCAAGCCCGTAATCGTTCCCCTGGAAACTCCTATCCATGAGGCCGCCAACCCCGACTACATCTTGAAACCCGGGCTTTAGAGATTGACTGCCTCGGGCTTCGAGTTCAGGGTTTAGGGCTTAAGGTTGAGGCTTGAGGGTTTTTAGGATTTAGGGCTTAGTGTTCAGAGTTCAGGGTTTAGGGCTTAAGGTTGAGGCTTGAGGGTTTTTAGGATTTAGGGCTTAGTGTTCAGGGCTCAGAGGGTTTAGACGGCTTCGCAAGTGTTCTTGAAAAGCCTCAGGCGGTTTTTTGATGGGCTTTAACGCTCTCAAGGAGTTGGGGTTTTTAGGATTTAGGGCTTAGTGTTCAGGGCTCAGAGGGTTTAGACGGCCTCGCAAGTGTTCTTGAAAAGCCTCAGGCGGTTTTTTGCTGGGGCTTTAACGCTCTTAAGGAGTTGGGCGTAATTCTGGGTTCTTGCATCTTGGTGTGTGTTTCTTTGGGCTATTCTAGTATAGTTATCGTAGGGAACCCTAATAAATACCGATACCAATTATTCAGGTGTCTGCATTATCATTTATAGCAACACTCGAAGAGCGAGTCATGTCTCCAAGTTTTCAGAACCTTCGGTTCGACTGACGTCCGTTCCACCCACTGCATGTCTGAATCCATCTTAGCAGAGCACTCCTCATGTTAAGGTTATGTTCTAGCCCAAGATTGAAATCCTTGCCATGGCTCTCGGCAGTCATAGCCACCGTCTGTTGTGCCCGCAACTCCTGCCCTCTGTTCCTCGCATATCCAGTCATGCCCTCGTCTGCCCTGAAGATGCAGGCGTAACCTATAGCCTATAGCAAAGGTGAAGTCCTGAAATGACGCCTCCACATGATCAACAGCAAACCTTAAACCCTGAACCCTAAACCCTGAATTCAAGATCCTAGTTTTAGACCGAGAGCCCCCGAACAGTGAGAATGTCATGGTTCGCTTTCGCAAGATGCCGCCCGGCTGGCGATCCCACAATGTCCCTAAGAGGGTTTAGGGTTTATAGGGTTTCGGGTTTATAGGGTTTAGGGTTTATAGGCTTTAGGGGTTTAGGGTTTAGGAATAGCTTTTTAAGATCTCAAGTGGCATCCCGGCGCCCTTCCTGGCGCCGCACAACAACAAGAATCTTGAGGAACGTGGGTGACAACTTCTACTGGGGCGGCATCGAGGTGGACTGTGGAAGTTCCCTGAATACCTGGGTGGGGGGGCTTGTTTGGGAAAGTTTTATTGCGTGTTCGAAGTTCATACCAGGGCATCTCGCACTAAAGAGAGGCAATTACGGCGTAAACGGTAACTTAACAGTAAGATGATCATCGCCATTATCGGTATGGTTTTGTGTCATATTGCCATGAGTCCATGTTCGAAGGGAGGTTCACGCTTTTGTGGCGGTGCCTCGGGCAGAGGGGCTTGCAACTAGCTGGGTCTGCAATTCATTTACGGGACTTAGTAATCAACATAGGGTTTGGTGGTATATTTTACTATAACTGGTGTAAGGAGCCCCCAAAACCCTATTCTATTTATTGAGGCCCCTACCCCAGTTACTTGGGTCTGCTTCTTTGTGGAGGCTTTGTCGCAGTCTTGCTTGCACCAGTCATAGCCTGCTCAAGCACTGCACATGCCTTGGTGTCCACGTGTCACACTTCTTACTGTTTAGGGTTTAGGGTTTATCTCATCTGATTTGTAGCCAGACTCAGGCAAACTATCAGGGAACCTCTAGCGTCATCGCTGACCTCCCAAACCCCAAGCGCTCACTGCAACTACATGCTGAAGCTAAACCCGAAGCCTTTTATAAAAGCGCATCACCAAGGCTCCATGGGAGGTATTTCTGGCACTGCCCGCCATCAGTTTGACAACATTTACGAGGGCATTTACAATGGTGCTGGCTTGGACGGCAAGCATCTTGTTTGTATTTAGTTGGAGGTCTTCCTTAACCTGCCAACACTTGTTTTGTTGTAGGGTCATGTATTATTCTATGTTGGGGTTCATACTGAGAGCCAAGAAAGTAGTGGCAGTTCGTGGTAGCCTGATCGCAGCTTCGAGCCGCAGACCCTCCCCCGAAGCCCGAACCCCAAATCACATCTTCGCCCCAAATGATCTATATACCTTCATAATTAAGTTAAGGAGCTCATAATAAGGCACCCTTAAACGGTCGGTCCTTATAAGAAGGTTCAAGCAAAACCTAAACCCGAAGCTCGAAACCCTGTGCTTTAGGCCGCTACCGAACCGGAGAACCAACACCAAGGGAGAGAAATCAAGCAGATTGATATCCCTAAGGGCCTAAAGCCTAAACCCTAAACCCTAAACCCACAGCCCTGGAAGTTTTCGGAACCTTCTACTCGGAAGAATTCGGATCGGGCTTTGGGTTCAGGGTTTGGGGTTTGTTAGGGGTTTCGTGTACCCGAAATGCAAGCCACAATGCAAAGCTTTCAAGCCTATGTGCTAAACCCAAAGCGCTGACTCCTAAACCGTAAATCCCGAAAGTCTTAACACGGAACCTTAAATACACAAGCCTGATCCCGAAACCCTGCATCATCGCAAAGCCCCGGCCCCACTCAGAGACTCAAACATCCCTTGAGTATTTTGGGTCAGGGTGGCCTTAAACCCTAAACCCCAAACCTAGATATTATGAAGCCAGGCCTGAAGCTCTAAACCCGAGGCTCTAAACTCAAGGCTTTAGGATCCCTATACCCTAAACCCTAAATCCGAAGCTCTAAACTCCAGGCTTTAGGATCCGGACCCCACCCAAATGGACACTAAGGCCATGGCTCAGCGTTCTTGGAAATCACGACTGGGGAGGACCGCTCTTCAGAAGGTTTGGGTTCAGAGTTTAGGCTGTAGGGTTTAGGGTTAGGGTTTCGGTAGTGAGTGGGTTAGGCTCAGGCAACAGCTAATGCTGAGGATTCTGTTTCCGAAACCCGAAACCCTAAACGGCAGGCCCTGAGACCCTATGCCCTAGGCGCTAAACCAACAACGGTGTCGGCACACTCCTACATCGCTCAAAGGGAAGCCTGAAAACGTAAGCCTTGTACCATTCATAGCCATTGTCTTCGATCTCACCCTAAGCCCTTTAAACCCATGAGGGCTACTCGAGTTTGGGGTTTCTAAAGTCATCGTTTTTTGGCACTTTTGGGGTTTTCCGTTCAGCACCAGCTCAACAGTATAAGGATGCGGGTGCAAGAGCGCCCCCCCCCCCCCCCCCCACCCTCAAGAGATGGGGGCGTAAGGGCCCTTAGGAAGGCATTCCTTTGATTTTGAGATCCCGAGATCCTTGTGTTTAGGGTTTTGGGGCTTGGACTTGCGCAGGCAATTTGAGGTTTTCATGGTGGTGCTTTGGGGATCATGTGGGGCTTCAGGGATTAGGCAACACTAGCCCTTCACAACACGAAAACCTGAGCTCAGTTCTGGGTTTCTTGAGAGCCGGGGGAAGCGGGGTACCTAGTACCTTGTCCATTCATTTTATGAGGCACCAAGCGAAAGTCATTGCGGGTCTATGTCAAACGTCCCCTCGTCTCAAGTTTCTGAAAGTCCGGGTTGCAAGATCAAGCGAGACCCAGCACGTGGCAAGGCAGGCAGTTCTACAACGGATGGGATCAGAAGCTTTGCCTGCATTTCACCTTCACGCTTGTGGTTTTGAATACTTTAAACTGCGGCAGTGTCAAGGTTCAGGGCTTTCCTCTAGGGTTTAGGGTTTTGTGTTGGGGCTTTAGGTTTTGGGCGCAACCTCAGTAAAGTTTAGGGTCATATGGAGGACTGAAACATCGAAGAAACCTAGCCGTGGGCGTGGAGCTTTCGCTCGGGCTAGATGGCGCCTTCTGTTGAGGCCTTGTTGAAAAATGCCTTACCAGGGGCAGTACAGTACATACACGCAAACAAACAAACCTACATACATACG